TAAGACCACACCTAGAGTACTGCATCCAGTTTTGGTCACTACATTATAAAAAAGATGTTGAGACTCTAGAAATAGTACAGAGAAGAGCAACCAGGATGATTAGGGGACTAGAGACTAAAACATACAATGAACGGTTGCAGGAACTGGGCTTGGCTGGTCTAGTAAAGAGAAGGACCAGGGGAGACATGATAGCGGTCTTCCAATATTTGAGGGGCTGCCACAGGGAGGAAGGGGTCAAGCTATTTTCTAAAGCTCCTGTAGGCCAGACAAGGAATAATGGATGGAAACTGAACAAGGAGAGATTTAACCTGGAAATAAGGAGAAACTTTCTGACAGTGAGAACAATCAACCAATGGAACAGCTTGACCTCGGAAGTTGTGGGAGCGCCATCAGTTGAGACTTTCAAGAAGAGATTGGACTGCCATTTGTCAGAAATGGTGTAGGGTCTCCCGCTTGGGCGGGGGGGGGTTGGACTAGATGACCTACAAGGTCCCTTCCAACTCTGATTATTTGTATCTGTATCTGTATCTGCCACTGTAACTTTGAACGATTCCTCAATGAAGGGTTGTAAATACAATGGGTCAAACATATAGAGGATAGTAATTCGGTTGTTGGTTCTAAAATTGTGCCCCATTAAATCTGATCTTTCAGTGTCCCAACATGATTTACTCAAGCATGTCTCTAGATGGGAGAGAATGTCACCAGAGACTTAATAGTCCTGAGAAAGATATGTTAATAATCTTTTTAAAAATAATTTCATCAAGAATTATAAATGAAAAGGATGAAAATAAAACCAAAAAAAATACAGAGAAAAATAAAAATGGTGAAAAAGAAAAAAGACAAAGAGGCGAAAAAAGGAAAGGAAAAAGAAGAAACTTCCCCATTCATCCCAGCAAGTACAGACAGCTTTAACAGCTTGTCATCATCTCTAAATCTAATAATCTCTCTTCGCCCTGTAGTTCATCTCTCAAGTAAAGGACATAATCCAAATGCACACAAACACACTACATCAATTGTGGTAGGGATCTTTGTTTCTGTTTGTAGAAACTGAATCTGAGAGAGCAATTCAGTAACTCCTTTAGAAGATGGGCAATTTCCTCCAGTTTTCCAGTCATACTCTGATTATTTTCTGCATCAGTTTTTTTTAAAGCAACTCAAAAATATAGATGATATATTCCTGCAAAATATGCAATTTGTATGAATGTTTTCCAAGAAATGAATTATTTGAAAGCTATTTCTCTCATATAATGCAGTCTGCACTTCTTAAGCTACATATAGGCACTTTTGTAAGTATTTTAGTGTTCTAAACTGAAAGGAAAATTAGAACTATTTTTGCATTAAATATCACATTCAATGTTTGGATTTGTAAACTGCAGTTTCAAATTAAAATTATATGGCATTAAAATTAATTATGCCCAAATTAATATGTATACTGAATAAATTGCCCCCTACCTTTACAATTGATTTCTGCATACAATTCCACTGGCTGGGAGTGTTTTAATAAAAGACTTGTTCATACAGAGACAGAAAATTCTATTTTTAGCAACAGGAATAGAATTGACAGTGCAATTCTATATATTCATTGGAAATAAACCCCAGTGTTTCCAGTGAGTTATAACTTATGTTGAGCAAGCCCTAATATAATCAGTTGCATTTTACTTGAGGGCAAGCCTACTTGATAAAATGGGATATAATTAATTGCAATAATTATCCTTCCTAAAAAAACCAGTTTTCTCTACTAACCATAATTCAAAATGTAATCAAAATAGAAAATTGCCACAAAGCAATTATAACGACTATAACCCTTTGCATTATGCAACATTTAGAGTTATTAGCTGACACCACTTTTTTGATGTAAAATTGATAGTAAATTGAAGGATCAATTTACTACAAAAAACCTGTGATTTTTTAAAAAAATTAAGCAAAGGTTCAAAGAAACGGGCTATAAACAGGACTAACTAGACTAGGATTCAAGATCCAAAGAGTCTTTACATTTTGACACTGGATGCAGAAAAGGCGGGTATTGATAAAGTATAAATTAATTGCCTAATGACTTATCTATTTTTAACAGTGTTCTAAATCTGTTACTTGAAAACACATGAGTACATGCTACTTAACATTGTGACCATAACGGCAAACAGTAAATCAAGAAACAAAGAAACAAAGGGGAAAAATAACCCAAACATTACGAAAGTCAAAGCATCAGACCTCAGATGAGAAATGCCCAAAGTCTGATGTAAAAACTTCCAAATCTTCCCACTGCATCCATGTCAGAAAATATAACTGAATCCACTATCTTCCAGAAAGACATTTTTGCCTCGTTACATGGTTTTAGTTAGTTCTTCAATCAGTTATTGTTTACCGAGTCTTTATGTGACATTGACCATTATATCACCATCTGTCACCAGCAATATGCATCATGAAGCACCCAACATATTCTATTTGGTACCAACTCTCCCTTGTTACTAAAGATATTGGTACTACAAAACCAGATTTCAGGAAAACATCATTATTTTATTACTGATCAAAAATACAAGTTCTTAATTCTGTTGTCTCTGATCAAGAAAAGAAAAATGCCATGTACGGATGAAACTGGATTCCTATGAATATTTATTAATTGTTTAACACCACACAAAAGCCCAATGACCGCATTAGAAGACCCCATCCTAAGTGAGTTTAGTAAAGCTATCCATGGTGGTGCATTGAAATTACACACTGTAATTCTTTCACAAACTAGGTGTTAAAGCATTTGCTAATTATTTACGGTGAAAGAACCTTTTGGCAGAATTGGACCATATTTTTAATGTTTGTGGAGAATTAAGTGGAAATAAGGCAAAATGGCTAGCTCTAGTCACTATCCAGGGTGGAGCCGGGATATTCCATCTATTTCTTGATTTGGGATCAGGTTATTGTCCTTCGTCTCGCCCCTTGGGTTATGCTTACAGTACATTACACCTGTCACTTCCTATTTCAAAATGGCAGGAAATCACACCACAGGTCAATAACAATTTTAGCACCTTTTTCAGTACAGCAATTATACAGTTATTGGTTATTGAAAAGGCGGTAGGGACGTCTTCATTTCTTCCCTCCAAAAATCATTTGTTGTATTTTTAAATAAAGAAGATAAGTTAAAATTATAAAACTAAAATTATAAAACTAAAATTGTTTATACTTGTGACAAAGGGGAAAGTCATTTCTTTACATATTTCTTTTCTTTTTTTTCTATTTTCTTTTTCATTTTTGTACCTTCCATTTTTATTGGATTAGGTTTTTTTATTATAGTTGTACTTTTTAATAAAATCACTATTATTATTTTTAGAAAAGAAAAGTTTTCAGCCTACTGCAGAGGATTCCCTCAAGCCTCCAGAAGGGCAATAACAGCCTCAAAAGGGCTGAAAATCAGCTGGGAGGTGCGCACATGCACAGTGCAGGTAAGTTTGGCTGGGGCTCGTGTGCTCGCAAAAATGGCTCTACATGCCATCTGTGGCACGCGTACCATAGGTTCACCATCATGGCCTTAGGTTTATGCACTGGATGATAAAAAGCTATTCTTGCAAAAAATAAAGTACTATTTTTTTTTAAAAAAATTACACATTCTAACCTTTAAAATGACTTTAATCATTTGGAAAGCTTGCGGTGTCACTTTGCTGTCATGTGATGTATCACAATGTTTTTCCCCTTCATGGAGCTGGGGTGGGTGTGGCCTGAGCTTGATGCATCCAGTCCATGGGCCACTAGTTTGACACCCCTGCTTTAGAAGGTTACTAAATCAACTCAGGAGTAAGGCTGCAAGGTAATGGCTCCTCCTTCAAGAAGAGAAAAGCCAGCTGTGAACGAATGTACTTTGTAGAAAGCAAAGACATTTTGAACTCAGCCTCATGGACATTACATTTGGTATTTGAAGACTCTTGTATTGTAAACTATTTCTTATCTGTTGTGTTTTGGCAGACTTTTTAAAACTTGGCAAGGCTCTTTCTTGTTGGAGCTAATTAGTTGGAAGCAGCCTTTTATCTGTGAAGAAACAGAATTCTTAGCTGAAACATACAAAGGTTGTACTACTGCCCTTAGCTTGTGTTTGCTCCCTTGAAACTAGGTTTGGGTCAGAACACCTGCATAGGAGGACAATCTTCACTGTTTACAGGGCATTCCTATTATGTGTTTTCTCAGAGCTAAATGTCAGTGTATTTGAGTATGTTTACTGAGATATGCATGCATATAATTGCTGCCTAAGAGGATGCAACAGAATCCAAATCAAGTGTGTCAGTCTTGGAAACAAGTGATTTAACCTGCTGAAGTTCTCGTTAGATTGCTTCCATCACCAGTGGGGCACCCGTGCTTGCTGGGGCTGGTGGGAGCTGATGTTAGTAACATAGGAAGGATCACAAATCTCTCATCTCTGCCTTAACAGTCATGAACCACTTCATTTGAAGAAAGGTATTTTTTTTTAACATAATAAGCCATCTTTCCTGTAGTGCTCTTTCTCCATGGTTTTATTGGAAACTTGATGTGAATAAGTCCTAAACATCATGTACCTGGAAAATATATGAATATATAAATATATGAAACCCAGTCACAGAGAACAGGAAGAATGATGTACTTTCCATCAACTCTCCTAACTCTTAAATTTTAAGCCCTGCTGTTTGCCTTTTTCCTTTTCCTTTTGTTTTCTGAAAGCTCACAGTTAAATTATATATTTGGATATTATGAAGTTTGCCAATCAGCATGGCACCCTTTTTTCAGATTTTCCTTATTATAAAGTAAATGTTATGGCAATACTATAGAAGACATCACACCACTTAAATGAAATCCATCATAATCACTTGGATTGATTGTAACTGACAAAGCAATAAAAATGAAATCTCAGTACCAATAATGCTGTATGGGGTAGACATATATACATATACACGTTTCTACATGTATATGCATATGTATTGTATGTGGATTTGTGTGTATGTGCTTGTGTGTATTTCTTGCAAAACTATAATGAAATACTTCCTTACCTGGAGATATTATGTAGAAGAAATCTTTAAATTCATCCATCCACACTTCTGCAAGCCTTCTATTATTTTTGTTAATTACATGACCAGTACCACCAGGAAATGTATAAGGAGTAGCTTTTCGAAAAACATGACCAACATGTGAACATGTTACAATCTCCAGGGAGCCTCCACACTGCCATATCTGAAATTTCAAAAGCAAATCAAAATCAGCTTCATTTTCAAGCATCTAATTAAATGTTAGCTGCTGCATTAAATTGGAAGGGCCACAACTGCAGCAATTAGTAAACTAATGTTAGTAATTAGCCAAGCTATCCAAAGCTATCCATCTGAGTCAGGTATTCTGCAATGCACAGACGTTCAAAGCATCTCTTTTTGATTTATAACCATAACTGTATCTTTTGCAAGCTGTTCAAAATAAAAGCATGCACAGTCACACAGGGACAACTTTTGAAGCAGCTTCCCTAATCTTGCAAAAGGCACTGTTGTTTTAATGTCTCAAAAAAAGAAATAAATCCATTTTTGTAAAACTGAGGTCCCTGCAGCAGCTACGTTGTTGCCCATAGGAACCAAAGGAGACAGCCATTATGTTAGCCATATAATTATCAAGGGAGGAGCAACAGAAAATGGTACAAGACTGCCCTATGGATGTGAAAATTGGTCTCTGAGGAAGAGTACTGATACTTTAGATCAGGGGTCCCCAAATTTGACAACTTTAAGACTTGTGGACTTCAATTCCCAGAATTCCTCAGCCAGCTGGGAGTTGAAGTCCACAAGTCTTAAAGTTGCCAAGTTTGGATATCTCTACTTTAGATACTTGTTGGAGAAAATGCCTAGGAATACCATTGACGAACTGATGGAACATTGAACAAATTAATCCAAAGTTCTCAAACGAAGTACAAATGACCAAGCTCAAATTATCCTACTTCAGACACATTATGTGAAGGCTCAACTCTCTGGTGAAAGCTCTAATGTTAGGAAAAGAAAGAGGATCACCAGCAAGGTAGATGGACTCAGTTACTGCTGGAACACTTTAAAGACCCAGGTTTGGAACAGATCCTCGAGAAACTTATGTTATTGCTAAGAATCAATTGTAACTTGATGACAGAATAATAAAAAAGTAGCAATCTTGAAATCTGGCTGTACTTTCCCTTCCCTCTTCCTTATACCCTGAGTTTCTTCCTAATATTCTTTGTTTACCAAGTTCAAAACTTGTTTATATGTATGTTGTTGAAATAGTGTCTGCATAGTTTCTCCAAGGTTATCTCTATGGCTCTCCACAGAACGATGCAGTACATATTTCCAGTGCTGAATCATTAATTTAATGTGTTCTGCATTAAAGGAGGAATAGGAAAGATTTCTACTTATTTACATAGCATGTCATTAGCCATTAGGCAACTCTGCTCTCCTTACCTTTCCCTGCCCATTCCTTCTGCAGGAAGGTAAACAAGAATTAGTCTACTGAAGTTCTGCTCCCTGACCATTGCCATCAACAGCCTTGGAGGATGAAAACAGTAGAAGGAAGACAGCCAGTATCCCAGAATTCCATTCAGCTGGACTCTCCCTCCCTCCCCAGCCATGGCCAATAAATACTTTGTGGGAAGGAGCTACAAATTCGTTTCGCCAACATTTTTCTTGCATTTTTATTTACAATTCTTTATATTCATTGCCTTCTGTTTTGGGATGGTTGTTATGCAGAATTTGAATAACCACAATGAACAAATAGCCCTTTAATAGTGATTTGATTTTGCCTCAGGCAACTTCATCTTAATAAATATGTTGTCACATTTACATCCCATTAATACCAGAAATTCATAAAATTAAACGCCACTGCAGAAAATACTGGTCTTATACTTGACTCATAGAAAACATGTTATTTGATCAAATGTTATGGAGATTTTTTTATAAAAAATGTAGAAGATGTTAGTGAATGGTTTGGGCCTTTGTATAATGGTATCTTTGCCATCAAAACAGAACTGGATGGCTTTGCCATAATAAGAAACTCTCTCTTCCCCCTACTCTGTTTTTCCCTTATCAATGATCAAAAATACATCTCATTCCATCTCCCCCCCCCCCCCCACCCCCAAATATATTAGACAACAATGATGTTGCCTATTTCCTTCTGGAAGATGGCATAAACCTGTACTTCCATCACTAACATGTCCCAGCTTCTTTCATCCAATATCAAGAGATTTTGGCTTGGGCCAACAATGTTCAATTTCAAAATAACCCTGTGCCAATTAAAATGAATGAAGCTGGCTTATAGCAGCTAAAGAAAATGATACCTATAAACGTCAGAAATAAGTGAGATGAATATATATGTGTGTGTGTGTGTGCATGTGTGTGTACACACACACATGTACATGTACATGCATATGTATATGTATGCATGTATTCATTAATGGAGGTTGATGGATGTGGCACTCAAGAAAGGAAGGATGGTACAAGGCAGCTAGTGGATATTCTTCATATTAGCAATTGATTCGGAAGCAGGGAAGGTGTTTTCAAAGGGATGTAGGCTTAATAGACCTCTCTATAGCTGTGTGATTCCCCTGGAGGATTATATTTGAAATAAAGAGCCACTCCAGCTCAAAGCACCATTAGCATCTCCTTCAAACCCACCTTTTCCTATAATTGCACTGCTACTGTAAGGGCTGAAGGGAAAAAAAAATCATTTTTAAAGAAAGTGATAACAAATCAGACATATATGCCCATGCCTTCCAAAGTACTTTTCTGCTTCAGATCCAAAGTGGGGCATATATCTAATGATAACAATGTATAAGAAGGCATGAATAAATCCAACAAAGAACTGGTTCCAAATACCGGTTTTATAGCTGACTTGGGTCAAAACTGGGGGGAGGCAGACAATTTTGGCCACATTGCAATCATATAAAAGGGCAATATGGTCAATTCAGCTGCACTTATATTTGTACCGAAGGGCAGCATACGGTTAAGGATATATTTTAAACAAAATGTTTGTCTATTAAAGCATTTGACATTCCAACAGAAGACTGCTACAGTTTGAAGAAAAGAGTTGAACATCAAAAGATGATTGGTATTAATGGAAATGTTGCTATAGCAACTGATTGCAGACTTTACTTAATTAGAGTGAAAGCAATTAAACAAAAGTTAATTAGTATACCAAGAGAAGTAGTTGGGTTTGGCCATAATAGTATCAAAACACATTTCCCATTTTACAGATAAAGTACCAGCAACCATGTCAATAGGGTAAGTGAACATGATTAGTTTTTGGGGTACCACAGGAAATTGGGATGTGTGGGTTTTTTGTGGGGTGGGTGAATTTTTGATCATAATCTCTCCTATGTCAGAAGGGCTGAATGAACCGTAATTCTAAAGCTATAATAAAAAAAAATCACAGGATATTGCAATGAATAAACTAGTGCTACTCATATATTCTTATGATTAAAGAATAAAAGTTGGGAAATGGCTAGCACAGCTAATTACCAACAAGATGTTGAGCTGATTGCACTTTTGATATATATCACCTACAATGCCATCATTGCAAGCCCCATTTCAGTTCCCTCTCCTGAATATTAAGGGAGAGAAGAGTTTTCAGCAGATTAATTTCAACATGGAAGTTCATCAGAGTATGCGTCGTAACTTACACTCTGAGTTACTGGAAATTCATCTATTTATTTGGGACAATTGATTTATTGCATTCTTGGGTTCTCTGCTGTGTTATGCTTGGCTTGGTCTCCAGGGTTGCTCGCTAAATTATTTTATCTTACTTATATTTCATTTGCCAGGCAAAGCTGTGCTTTGTTATTTTGTCTGATGCCTTATATTTTCCCGTGATTGCTTTGACATTTTCATGACTTCTCTGGAAGAATAAGAAATGTTGGGAGGCAATGCTGGTTTTGGGGCTACTGCTTGAAAAACTACAGCATAATAGCAATATATTTCTATACAACAGCAATGATTTTGTTATAATTTATCTGTTAATGAAATTTATATGGCTGCCCATCTAGCCCAAAAATACAACATAAAATAAAAACAAAGGAATCTTTCAAAGCAAATAATTGACCAAAACTACACTGAGGCTCAATATAACCACAAAAACAGTGACCTCACACATTCATCCCAACCCCAAGGCTGGGGGGAATTCACGGCCTTGTGAAAGGCCAATATAGTGCATGCTGCCTGTATTACAGATAGTCCTCAATCATTTGTTTAGTGACCATTTCAAGTTACAACAGCATTGAAAAAAGTGATTTATGACCATTTTTCACACTTATGGCCATTGCAGCATCCCCATGGTCACATGATCAAAATTCAGACACTTGGTAACTGGTTCCTATTTATGACCAGCCACAGTGTCCCAGGGTCACGTGATCATCTTTTGTAACCTTCTGACAAGCAAAGTCAATGGGAAAACCAGATTGACTTAACAAATTGTGTTACTAACGGAACGATTACAGTAATTCACTTAACAACGGTGTCAAGAAAGATCATAAAATGGGACAACATTCATTTAACAACTATCTTGCTTAGCAACAGAATTTCTGGGCTTAGTTGTGGTCGTAAGTTCAGGATCACCTGTATTGCTATGATAATATATTATAATATATATTATAATGTATCACAGTGGTTAGAGTGCAATACTGCAAGGTACTTCTGCTGCAGCCAGCTGCCTACAATTTGGCAGTTCGAATCCCACCAGGCTCAAGGTTAATAACTCAGCCTTCCATCCTTCCAAGGTGGGTAAAATGAGGAGCCAGATTGTTGGGGGGACAATAGGCTGATTCTGTAAACCGCTTAGAGAGGGCTGTAAAGCACTATATAGCGGTATATAAGTCTAAGTGCTATTGCTATAGTGGACAACATTTTTTCAGATTGGTGAGCCTAATATTCTATAGGTTTAGAACAGGGCTGTCAAACTCCTAGCCTGGATAAGTCACACACTAGCCACGCCCACACCTGGTCTAACGAAAGGGGGGAAAGTCGTGATACGTCACGTGACACCGGCGTGACAATGCAAGTTTGACACCCCTGGTTTAGAACATGCAGCTCAAGTAGGGGCACCTGATCAACTGCCCTGATACAAAGTAATCCCTGGTGGTGGGAATGTCAACCTTCCTGACCATTTTCAGGTTTAGAATAAGGCTGCCTACTAATTGAAGTTTTTCACTGTTAAAATTAGCTTGAGCTGGAAACTGAAAATAG